AGAGCTTAGAATCGAACATCTTCAAATACCTTACTACAGGTATATCTTCAATAGGAGTACTTTGATAGGTAATTGTTGCTGTTGTATAAGATTCATCATCAGTTATTTCATAATCAGGTGTGAGGCTTTCTTCCTTGCTTTCAACTTCTTCTTTAGGTTCTTCTTTCTTCATTTTTATTACTTGAGGTTCCTCTTTAAGTGTTTTATCAGCTAATTGTTTAAGAGGAGTCACCATAAGTTTAAATATTTCTCTCTAGCTTTAAATTTACATCTTTTATCGGTGTCGAGTTAGTCGTTCTTGAACAATGATAGTGTAACGACGTTTTAAAAAACGAGGTGCTGGTATTGTTAAAACACTTATAAACAAATTGCCATTTGAACTTCCTATACCAGGATATCATTATTGTGGTCCGGGAACTAAATTGAAGGAGAGATTAGCACGTGGAGATCCAGGAATCAATCCATTGGACGCTGCTTGTAAAGAACACGACATTGCATATTCGCAAAATCGAGATAACATTGAAGCTAGAAACGCAGCTGATAAAATACTTACTGAAAAATCTTTGAAACGTGTTTTCGCGAAAGACGCAGATATTGCTGAATGAATTGCTGCTTAAGGAATTTCCAACGTCATGAAAGTTAAATCACAATTGGGAATGGGTTTGGAAGAGAAAAACAAAACGGACTAGATTCTATTAAATCTGCATTAGTTGCTGCACGAAAGACAGTTCGCAATGTTGGTGGAAAGAAAAAAATCAAAGTTCCACGTATTATACCGATGCCGCAAAAAGTGAAAGTATTTTACCTCTTGTATCTCTATTTGCAGGTTTAAGTGCAGTTGGTGCAGTAGCAGGTGGCGCTGCTGGCATTGCAAAAGCAATTAATGATGCTAGAGACGCCAAACGTCAATTAGAAGAAGCTAAACGACATAACGAGAGAATGGAAGCAATAGCTTTGGGTGAAGGTTAACGTCTAAAACCGCACAAGAGAGGATTAGGATTGTATTTGAAACCGGCAAAAAAAACTTCTAAATTTACCTCATCGTGCACTGACTGATATTGAACTTCAAAAATATGCAAAAATCCTGAAAATACCCTTTTTTCGTGGTGTTTTCATGCGAAATGATCTTTCAAAATCTAAACCGTAGAAAAATGAATCAGCACTTATTAATCTCGACGATAAAACTGGACCTGGAACTCACTGGGTGGCATATAAAACACGTGGTAATAAAGTTATATATTATGACAGTTTTGGCAATTTGCAGCCACCACATGAGCTTATGAAACATCTTAATGTTGATAAAATACTGTACAATCATAAAAAACATCAAGATTACAGTACAGATGATTGCGAACACTTGTGTTTAAAATTTTCACGTAGAAAAGTATAAAAGTAATATGCATTTTCCAATAAGCATCAGTCATGGATGATTCACTCACGTTAACATTGTCTGGACAAACGTCCATTCTAGAAGCGTTTTATTGTCCACCAATTAAATTATTATCATCTAAAAAATATAACCTAGGACTTGTGGATTTGTTAACCTTCAATTCCATTCCAAATATTGATAACGGCAACAATAAATTTTATTATACACTCAATGGTGAAGATAAAAGTATTAAAATACCCACAGGAAGCTATGAAACTGAAGACATTGAAAATTATTTGAAGAAAGCTGATACTCAATTATCAATTTCTATTAAGGCCAGTAATAATGAACTACACAGTGAAGTTTACAGTGAAAATGCAACAATAAATTTCAAACTGCATGATTCTATTGGTAGTTTGTTGGGCTTTAGTCTACAAGCTATTTTTCCAAAATTGACTCACACATCAGATTTACCAGTATTTATCTTGAAAATTAATGCATTAAGGATCGAATGTAATATTACGACAGGAGCATACATGAATAATCAGTTGGTACATACGATTCACGAATTTTTCCCATCAGCTCCACCAGGTTATAAGATCATTGAAGTTCTATCAAACTTCAGTTATCTTCCAATCACCGTATAAGCAATACATAATTTACAACTGCGCATTGTTGATCAAGACGGTCAATTGGTTAATTTACGTGGTGAAACTGTAATAATGCGTTTACATTTGAAATCAGTCACGTGATGGGGATTGTTTATAAACCAATAGTAGGGGGAAGCTATAAAACTAACATATCATGCCTGAATCCTATCAGTCATCGAAGAAAACTCAAACGATTAACTTATCAAAATCGATTATTCCCACAAAGTCTGGGACTCATAATTCGCAAAGTTGCAACAAAATTAAAGTAAAAATGTGCTGTGTTGCATGTCTTTTACCATGGAAGAAGAACAATTAGCAATAAGTAAAGGTGTCATATTTGATGAGTCTATTGCACACATTGAGGTGCATGCTCGTCAACCATATGCATCTACAATATATAATAATAATGATGAGATACATATCTCAGTTCAACATCAAGATTTATGTCTGTTGCTAAGCAAAAGTTTTCTTCATATTACGGGGAAATTTACAAAATCTAACGGAAATGCAGTAGCAGCAACATCAAGATTCGTTAATATTGCCGTATGCTATTTATTTGAAGAAATACGATATAAATTGAATGGTGTTGAGATTGATCGAAATAAAAATGTTGGTCTTACAAGTCATATACTATTGGGATTTGCTGAAGATTATCATTGCATAATTGTCAATGCCAAACATGAATCAATACTTGTTCAAATAACGATCTTAATGCAATTGTACAAGCTGTAACGGAGCCTGAAGAGACGATCACGCTTATAAAAATTGAATGGATAATTCCTTATGTCACTATTGCAGATATAAAAAAAGTAAAATTGTTGAGTTACATTGCAGAAGACCCACCGATTTCAGTGAGTTTCAGATCATGGGAATTATATGAATATCCAATGCTGCCGAACACAACCAAACACGTATGTATCGTAAAAACATCAACTCAACTGGAAAAGCCACGCTATGTTACATTGGGATTTCAAACTGCACGCAAAATTGATGCTACGAAAGATGCAAGTCATTTCAATCATTGTAATTTAAGGGATGTAAAACTTTTCCTCAATTCACAATGCTATCCATATGGTAACATAAATCTCAACATAAGTCGGAATCAATTTGCTTATTATATGATATGTATAAAGATTTTCAAACATCATATTATGATAAAGAAGCAGAACCTCTGCTCACGAAAAGAAAATTTATTGATATAACACCACTTGTAGTAACCGATTGTTCTAAACAAAATGAATCCTTAAAATCAGGACCAGTTGATGTTCGACTGGAGTTCGAATCATCAAAAGCTTTTTCTGCTAACACATCAGCCTATTGCTTGATCTTACATTATCGAATAATAGAATATAAACCCTTGAGTGCGCAAATGAGAAAATTTACATTATATATTGAAAACATTTATATATTATATTATTATAATTATATTATTATTATGATATATTGATCAAATGTAATTTTTTTTTTTTTGCTATAAATAAATTGTGTACACAAAAAAAAAAAACATCGTTTTCATTGATTTCCTGAAAAAATCAGTAGCACAAATTATAAAGAATGATAGCCAATCAAGGATCGGTATTATAGCTGACGATAATTTACCGCTAATCGAGGTCGGTATTATCGCTGAAGATAATTTACCACCAATCAAGATCGGTATTATCGCTGAAGAGAATACTTCTCAATGACCTATCGACCATCGAATAAGGGTAGACTTCCTTTTCCTAAAGTGTAAAATTCGAACACAACAATAGCCGTACCTTTGCAGACAAAATATCGTTGGAAAGCATTGATTTCATCAAGCCTACAGCCTTAACGGGGCATTTTAACGCCAAATCTGCCTACTAGTTCTGAGGCTACTTCACGTTACAAATTACACTGACGGTCCCACATTATCTTCCAACGTTTTTTTAGATTACCGATACGAATTTCGCTGCATTCAGCATAAAGTTCAGCGACAACGAGTGAGCGTGGAAAGCGTAAATTATCATTATTCGTGATACTTAATATAGAACGCTTTTTACGGCCACGTTTTTCCACACCTCGAACAATTGAATCCATCAAAACAATATTATCGTCACTATTTCAACTACCGACACTTTAAGCAATTTTGCAAAGTAGCTCCCACAAATCGTTACTTATGTATTGTTGTGGTGGCCTAAAGCGAGACCATATTGGTCCACGTGTCAGCTCTTCATAATTAATAGTAAAGGCAATTTTATCACGCGATGTACAACCTTGTGTAATGTATGTGGTAATATCAGTTAAAGCGCCCTCAAACCATTCTAAATGGTATTCCATATTACCATTCTTCACCTGTAATTTGAAACTTTGTGAGATTTTTTACCCGCTCTCTGTCGATAATAAAACGATGGCCCGGTGGATAGATAGCCGCGAAGGCTTCTGATGAGGTACTTAGTGAAACGTTGATCTTGACGTTTGAATCAAGAATTTTTTTTGCTATAGATCTTGTTGCAGCACCGCCTCTCTGAATATTTATAATTTATTTGATAGTTGTAAACAGCATTATTCTTCATGAGGTCTCCAATCGATATATTCAAAACCTACATAAATTTAATAACTGTAATAGTCGTAAATTTAACATAAAGGAATTCAAAAATATTTACTCTTTGAGGATGATGATGACCTTGGTTGATAAGGGTGATCAGCATTGGTGTCCCCTTCTAAAACCGGTACTTCATTATTGCTTCCCTCAAAAGCATCGACTAATGACACGCTTAACGATGATGATGACTCGGGAGTTGGGTGTAGCCGTCTGAAGACATATTGTCATCAGTTTCTTCTTCAGTATCAAGTCTATAGGGAATACTGCTATCACCGCTATACTGTGAATATGAACAGGATGTTGTAGATGGTGTACTGTCACCATCGACGTTACAAGGACCATGAAACTCTGCTATAATTTTATTGCCGTAATCAATGTTGAACCATCACCTTTTTCTAAGATACTTGAATCCAATTGTCCACAGTTTCATAAGAGACACCACCAGTAGTTGAAGTTGATGGTTGAGGCTGATCAATATTAACGATGTTAATAGAAGTAGATGGCTGAGGATTTTCAACTTCCCAACTAAAAATAATTTGTAAAATTTTTATTTCCAAATTACCACCAAATCAGCTCTTGGAATATATCCCAAACTAGCACCGTTAAAGTCCCGTTTGTAGGACAAAACCACCGATTGACTACCTAAACAGTACCATAGTCACACCGCATTCTTAACCGATAGACCACCGATTAATAATTAGTTCAGCTTTTTATTCATATTAGAAGTTTACATTGTTATTTTGATTTCCATTATTATGATTTACAAAATTGTTAATTTGTGTATTACAACCATATGCACGATAGAATCGGGGGTGACTCTATGGATATTAATATTGGGAGAAATAATTTTGATACTGATGCTCATTAAGATTACTGTATTGTGGTGGTCCACAATGAAAATTTCTGTAAGTGCTATGGGGCCAAAATGTGTCTGAGAATGGTAAATTGTTCTTCGTTAGTTGATCCATTCCTTTTTGAGATGTCCGACTTAATGTGGTTGGATTTTGATAAACATCAGGATTCGCACTATGTACTCATGGGGTCATGGGTGCTGATGATGGAGTCGTTGAAGACTTTACGGCTGGTGCTGTTGATGATTTTATGGGTGGCGTTGGTGGAGGTTTTCTTGATGTTCTGGATAGTGGTGATGTCGGTAATGATGTTCGTGAACGTAGTGGTGATAGTGTTCTAGATTCACTTGATGGTGATGATGTTCGTAAATGTGGTAGTGATCGTGGTGCTGATAACATTGAGGATGATGACCGGCCATTTCCTTTTTTAGTTAAAATGATAAATAAATAATGGTCTATAAATAAGTGCACTGTTTAAATGATTATGTCTGTGGATTTATATACGATTTTAATGTAAAATAGTGTAATATGTCAATATTTTATTTATTTACATTTTTTAGTTTTCGAACCAGATAAATCATCATCATGAGATCTTTTATTCTTCGCGCTTGTCTTCTTCTCGGTAATGATGTTGTTTTTTTTGTTCCAAACGATTATTATGTCTCGCATTTTACGAATGACGATATCGTTGAACCCTGATGAAGTGATTTCGGTTTTATATCGCTTCGTGATATAGCCTATGGATGAAATATCATATTATTTTCTCAAAGACTTAATTATAATGCTAACGCTTACTAGGGATTAGTCAAATGTTACTTACCAGCGGTCAATTTTTGTCCTGTTCCATATTTTACTATGTCTTCAGTTTTTACAATTTTTGCAAATAAATTTCGTATAAATGTACGCTTGTTTTGTAAGCGTTTGAGACCACGGTGATTAAATCATTGCTGGATATCATAACATTAGTACCAGGATATAATTCGACCTGTAACAAATGAAAATGTTTATTAAAAATTTTCCCAAACATCAATTCATTAAATTTATTTTTGCTTGATGAGACTTCGCGTACCTGAGTATTTAGCTATGGCACCCCCTTCCGGATATTTCTTGGACATCATTAACGTCAATAAATCCGTGTAGGTTTTCAAAAGTCTCACAAAATCAGGAGATACTGAAAAAAGTTCATTTATATTAATATTGAATTAAGAAATATTATAGATACTATCTTCGGCTTCTAACATATTCGTGCATGTTAGATTTCAAAGAATTTAAGACAAACGTTTTAAAGTAAAATGCTGAAGACATAAACACTTACTTTGGATATTTAAATCTCGGCAAACACATTTTTTGCATTTCTCACAATTAGATTGTGTTGCTGACTTGCTTGTTTCAGGATGTTCTTCCATTATCTCCACTGACTTCTTATCTTGAATGTTGGTTACTGGTTTTTCAATAGCTTCATTGATGCCACGAACCTGTAGCACTTTGCTATTCAATTTGTTTAAACCTTGCTTTTCTGTAGCTTTTAGTGCCTTCTTTTCATTGGCTATTTCTTTTTTAGCATCCATTATAGCTGTTGAAATTTCTGGCTTGATTATCCGTCCCCAATTATCAACGATTATTGACTGAAAATAGTCTTGATTACCTATAAATACATCACTTTGTGAGTATGATGCACTGAATTATTTTTTATTATTCATTTTGTTTCTGTTTTTACGAATAACTATATTTTGATCAATTTTGTAAAATTGAAAGAATACAATAAAAAGCTTTTCAAAAAAGAATATGATAATAGAAATCCATCATACTTGTAAGTAAGACTTTGATAATAATAAATATTGATTCACAGACGCACTTTCCAATAATCACAAACTATAAACAAAAATATACTGCTAACCTCTCAAGATACACTTGGAAACTGGTGTAAGAATAGAAAAAATATACTTTAAACAGTATTCTTATTGTTAGAAAAAACGGCAGACATGGTCATGAAAAACTGTTGTTATTTATATGCTCGCATTACCGTTACATTGTATATTCTTTTTTTTTCTACAAGCGTAGTGTAGCCAATCGTTTGGCATATTTAGAATGCTCACATTTCAATTGGACGAAATTACATTCAAGTAGGGTCTCTTGTCTTCAAGGCTATGATGGTTCTTTTAAGTGTGTGCAATTAAAGTCATTGTCAATTATACCTAGATAAAAAGTTAGTGACATTGACCTTTCGGTTTACAGCTACGAATTCTATTTAGTAGTGGTTGTAAAGTCTCATAAAATTTACCATCTTGTAATAACTGCACATAAATCATCGGATAATTTAAATATATATCTCTCGTCATCTAAGATAGTATCCTGTCATTAACAAACAATGTATAATAACTTTGTAGAAAATTCTTTCTTATATCTGACAATAGTTAATATTTCATACATGGATAAATTTTTACATAATAGAATTTTTCAAACCCGAAAAAAATTGCGTAAACAATTTTGAAATTTTCTAGAACTATTTAACCACTATTATTTTGTCAAGTACATATTTTTTAAAGTTTCGATAGATTTAGTTAGCGAAAAGCTGATAGTATCAATTGAAAACAAAAAACCACATTGAATTATTTTTTAAAATATAACATAAAGAACTGTTAACTAGAGAGATGAAGTTTTTAAACGGAAAAAATGATCAAATTCATTTATAGACTGATAACTAGGAGTGGCAAAATTCTGAGAAGGCGCAAAATTAAAAAATAACTTCCCTCTCAATTGAATGTGCATTAAGGTAAAAAACCTTTTTATATTAAATATTAAATCAAATATTTTTTTTGAATTGAGAGAAAGAATACAGTAGAACTATAGTTATTAAATGTAGAGTTATTTAGGAATAATTAGATTGTATTTTCTTGTTAAGAGGAATTGGACAGCGTTACTTGAGTGCTGTTTTCAAATTTATTCTACACAGTGTTATGTAAGTATGAATTATGAAGTTATGAAGTTTTTTTGCAGGGTACCGTTTCGGTGCTGCCTTTAGTCTAGAAGCCTTGTGAATTTATCGTGCATTAATTATAGAATAAAAATCAAAATTTTTTGGTTACATATTTTTGTAGAGGATGATGAGGAGTATTTGTACAAATTTTTATTGTATTTTTCTTACCGCTTACGTAGCGAGAACTGTAAGAAATATAAAAAATTCAGGAGAGCACCTGTCTATCATGGACTAAAAATGTGGACAGCGCTGCGAAGGCGCGCTAAAAATCGAACACTTCGGACGCTCCGTCAGTACATGCCGTTGAGCGCCTTTTTAATAATAAAAAAAAATATTTCCAATATCTTCAAAAACCTGGAAAAATTCTGGAATGTTCAGAATCATTTTCTGAACATTTTCCAATTAAAATTTGAAAAAAAAATGAATTTTTCGATTTTTATAGTACCTTTTTTTTTCATGAACTTTGCACCCTTATATTTTTTTAGTTCATGAGCCCATTTTATAGCCAATTCAGGAGCAGATAGGATTTTTCCCGCTCTATAAAATGGCCATCTCAGTTTTTTAAAAAAAGTTTTTTTTAATACTGAAAAAAAATCGAAATGTGGTTTTTGGATTCTTTCACCATTATTTTAGGAGTGATGTTATTTTTTACTATGAAAATTATCTACAGCAAAGTTCGGTATCTCCATGTGAAGAGTATGAAACAATTTAAAAAAAATTTTTTTTCGCATTTGTTGTAGACAAATTTGATAAACAAATTCGTAATTTTTAATTATTTAAAATTTTTTTTCAATTCAATTTGTAGGTTTTTTATATACAGTTATTAACAAAACGGTGGATTTATTAAAAATTCATTTGTAGTCTGTTAATTTTTAATTGTTTATAAAACAAATAGTTCCAATAACAATTGTGGTTATTAAACAATTGATTTTTTAATAATAAACGATGATCTTTTTAATGATGCATCCGGGAAAATTATAACATTTTTTTTTAAATTGTTTTTTTTAACAATTTTTTTGTTATTAATAATTTTTTTTATGTAATGTATTTTTTTACAGTTACTCCATGATTATTACAAATCAGTTGTCACTGATTTATGTTCTCAAAAAAATTTTTATAATTATTTATTAGTAATTATAAAATATTTTTTTACATCTCTTCTATTTTTTTCGAATTTGTAAATTATTTTTTATAGTTTTGTATAAAAAAATAAATTCTATGCACTTCTCTTGTACGATTTGGTACATTGTACGTCTTTTTTCAACCATTTTTACTTAATCTAGAGTTTTTTTAAGTTTTTAAATATTTAATTCCACATGTTGCAACAGTCATCGCTCACGTGACCTCCCGCGCTAGAAGGCCCCACCTCTTACAATTGAAGCCTGTAAAATTGTAAAAATAAAATGAATCAAGTGAAATAAATAAAGTAGAATTGCAATAAAAAAAAAACAAAAAATAAAAAAATTTTTCAAGAACATAAATAAGTGGCAGCTAGTTTGCAATAATGATGGAGTAACTGAAAAAAAATATATGAAAAAAAAATTGTATCGTAAAATCGTAAAATTGAAATATATTATTTTCCTATTTGTTCTTATAGTGTTTCATACGACGCTTCTTAATGATTGTCATTGAAATTAACGATGAATTAAAAAATATTATTTTCATTAGAATGTATAGGGTTGTCGTATCCATTCTCTATCATTCTCGTATCATAGTTTAAAATTTTTGTTCTACCTGTGAGTTCTAGTTCGTTGTTATAATTTTTTTTTATGAGAACTGCGCTACCTTCCGATAGAACTTATTAAGTCTCATCAAATGTTTATGGGTTTCAATCGTGTTCTGACAGATTCTATTGGATTGTTTTACCAGGGGGATAACCATTTTCGTCCATACTAATGTCTTCTCTTCATTCTTCAGGATAATGTTTGAAACATTTTTCATGTATAATACTTCAACTTCCACATGGTCCATAGAACATATTTTTCGTAATGATATCATATAGTATTGGATCATCAGTCTTATTCGGTATTTCAACGTAAATGAATTAATCGACCATTTGTGGAGTTGTTATTTTACATCTATTTTTTAATGTCACCAACATATGCATATGAGGTAATCCACGTTTTTTAAATTAACATATTATATGCATAATTGGATTGTTTATAACAATGTTCAATTGTTAAATGTACGATTATTTGTTTATAATAATGTTCTATCGTTATAGGTACAAATTAATTATTCATAACAATGTATTTGACAATCAGCCTTCCAATAAGTATACATAAGTATAAGCTATTTAATGACATTTGTTTTCTTTTAATTACGACTTTATTGACCATTCACGACTACAAGAAGAGCTGTTTGACTTACTACAATAATTCATCTAAAAATTCTATAGGAAAAAAAAGTTGCGTTCAAGTGCAAGCATAGCTCACTTTTTTATACAGCATGAGCGAATATCTCTGATTATCACAACGTACACGAAAAAGTAAGAACGCATTTTTCATATTAGAACATAATTTAAAGCGCTAGAAAACATGTTTGTTGCTTGGAAAAAACGTTCCAGCATTATAAATCGACAACGGATGTTGGAACGCATATTTCACTATAAGGACATAAATAATATTGTTAGAACGTATTTCATATCAACAGAACATCAATTGGAACATTAAGACCTGTATTTGACACTTTGAACATAAATGGGTTCGTTAAAGCACATATTTAATCATTAAAACATAAGTGGAAATGTTAGAACACATAACGTAACTTTGAAACATATTCTAGTTTATTGAAATATGATCTGGTACATTAGAACCCATATTCGACTATTTAAACATGAATAAGTTCATTAAAACATACTTTTGATCATCAGAACATAATTTGAAACGTTAGAACACATAATATAGCGTTAAAATATATTCTTGTTCATTACAACATAATTATGAACATTCGAACGAATATTGGACGATTATAACATTAAAAAAATTCTTAAAATACATATTCGACCATTCGAACATAAATAAATTCGTTAGAATACATATTTAATCATTGAAACATAAGTTAAAACGTTTAATTGTACGATTCAATGTTAAAACATCTTGACGAACATTAAAACATAAATAAGTTCTTTTAAACATATGTGTCATGATCAAAATTTATGTGTGAACATTAAAACACATAATTTATTATTAAACCATAAGTTGAATCGTTGATATACATATTGAAACATTATTTTTTTTCTTATTATGAGAACGTGATGCTTCCATCACAAAAGAAATAAAAATCTTGATTAATACTTAGTAAAATTACTAATTATTAATTTAGAAATTTAAATTATCAATTACTTTTGTATTTAGTAATTTGGCGAAAAAAATTTCACATTAACAGTGTTAATTGATAATTTTATTCTCGATATTATCTATTACAGAAGTAATTGATAATTTCTTTTTTCTGATAAACGATTTCCCAGTAATTGAGTAATGTGTAATGAAGAATACTTTTTTTGACGATCCCTGATGTGGATTGATAGCAGCGTTTAAGTCTCTCAAAATTCTTACGTCTTCATTTCTAGTTCAGCTATTATTCTACAAAAGAGAATTAGCGAATGTAATAATAATTAAAAATTTCTGCATGACTTTAAAAATTTAATTGAAATACGTAATATTTAAATTTAAAAATTATTTGAAGATACCTTATTTGCAACAACTGGTAAAGTATCCTTTTACTTGTTTTTTAGAGATGTTTCTTTCTA